GGTCATGGATCTGTCATACACTAAAAATACTTGTTAACAAGAATTCTAGACAAGCAATGTGGTGGAATCTGCAGAGCAGCTATCGACCAGGCACCTCAGCTAAAAACCGGTTTATTGAGACATTCAAATTGAGAGAGTTAATTTATTGAGAGAGTCATTTATTTATTTTATTTATTTAATTATTTATTAACAGAAACTGGGTAAAAACTGAGTAATAACACACAGTTTATGAAATTAATTCACAACTAAAGCGATGAAAAGCGAAATTAAGTCGAAAATGCATATAGGTGAATAAAACATGCATACGTATATGCACATTCCCATAGATATTCAAAACATATGATCTGGATTACCTAAACTGACATCGATTTGTAGTACAACGTATATAATTCATATTTTGAATTTTCCTATTTTATATGGATTATGATAAATCTGAATTATCGGAAATTCGGACTGTTAGAGATGTGATGTATAAGAAAATGCAATTGGATATCTTATTGAAACTGATTAAATGTATGTAATGAATAACGATGAAGAACAGTTGCCTTTGAATCTTATCAATAGCAACTGCAAATAAAAAGTTTAAGATATGGAGTATGCACTAATTATAGATATTGGAGAGTGATTGACTTACAGCAGACTTAAAGTCATGCACATGGCAGTATTAGACTTTTATCATGGTAAAGGTTCAATCTTGATAAGTTACATTACATATTGTAATAAATATATACAATTGTTTTGTGATAAACTTAGTGAGGGAAATAATAGACCTCGACAGTAATTACGGTTTTTTGTTGAAATGCTCTTTGAAAATCGCTACAGAACTTTACACTAAACTTATATTAACAAGAAGAGATAAATATTGCAACATTAATTAAAATTTAAATAAATCGTTAATATTCATTAATTTAATAAAGTGATAAATTCAAGATATGTAATATATATAAGATTATTAATTAATTAATAATTATTAATTACATTTAATAATATTATTATATGAATATTATTAGTTATTTATAACCACATATAAATAATGAATTAATAATTATTATTTATATTTAAAAATATTATTATATGAATATTATTAATTATTTATAAGCACACATAAATAATAAATTAATAATTATTAATTACCTTTAATAAATCGATAATAGATTTTGTTACTATTATAAATAAAAATACTCTCGCATAAATTTGTGTAATATTAAAAGCATTAACAATTAAAATGGCAACTCTATGCACAGCACTTGTATAAACAAAAACAAGAAAATAAGCCAAAACCGCTGAGCGTCAACTGTTCTCAGTCTCACTTGAATGCGTGTTTACTGAAACATTTTGAAAATGAAATTCATTCAAGTTCTGTGTAAACAAACTTTTGGTTTATTGCAACCTGAGAGCAGCGTTGCAGTGGCGCGGCATTGTTTTTGCTTTTTTCTTTTCCTTCTTTTACTTTATTTGCTTCTTGCAACGCATGGTTAGATTGATTTTTCTATTTTGTTTTTATTTTGCTTGTATTTACATTTGGATTTTTATTTGTATTTTTATTTGTATTTTTATTTGTATTTTTATTTGTATTTGCATTTGATATTTGAAAATTGCACTTTGTGTAAAAAATCTTTGGCAAATCAAACAAAATTGCGCTCTGGTTGCGTATGAGTGACCGTTTGTTGTCTTGTTTTTTTTTTTTGAATATTATTTTCTCAAAACAATGGTAAAAATAAATAAAAAAAATCAAAAATAATTTGAAAATAAATTTAAAGTAAATAGAATAAAAATTAAATTTAAATAAAATAAAAAAATAAATAAAAAATAAATAAAAATTAAATAAAAAAATAAATAAAAAAAAATAAAAATTAATAGAAAAAAATAAACAATAAATAGAAAAGAATTAAAAAAAATAGAAAAAAAAAAATAAAATGCGAATATATATTTGTTAATATATTCTTGAATATTTTTATAAAGAATTTAATTTTTTTAAATTATATAATAGAAGTAAGTAGTTGAGTAGCGTTGTGAAGCTAAAACTATTTAATTATATATTTATTGTCTGCTTAATTTAATTTAGCTATTAATTAATTATGGTGTATTTTATATTTTTACCTAAATAAATTTAAAAATACAAAAGACAATGATGAGATAAAGATTATAAAAAGTCAACTCTAGAAATAATTTTTTAATAATTTTAAATTATTTTTCCATTTTTTAGTGCTGTTAGCTGGCGATCTTCTTAATATTAGGAATTTTTCTGACGATGGCAAAAGCTAATTTTCCAAAATACATATAGGAATACACAAAACACAACGAACGAAATAAAAGTTAATGACTGACTATATTTTATTTGAAGTACAGATGAGCGCTAATGGGTTATTATGATATTGTGTCAATGCTTCAGCGTTAGCTAATATCGGCAACAATCGAACACACTATGCAATTGTATCGATGCTTTAATAATGACGTTTTTTGTCAAACGGGTTATATAGAAATTGCCATGATGAGAACAAGATGCCACCAATCAAACACAATTGGAATGCTCTGAATCTATAAAGATGGCACATTTGATCTCTAGGTTGCAGTGCGAAATCCTTTAAATTTATACTTGGACTTGAAAGAACAATTCGATTTCAAGGAGTTCGATTTCTGCATCGCAATGCAAAATGCCCGAAATATGCTTAGACTTGGAAGAATTGTTTGATTTTACGAAGGGAGCAATAGATCTTTAAGTAGCATTGCAAAACCTCCAAAACTAATACTTAGACTTGGAAGAACAGTTTGAATTCTTGAAGGATTAATTAGATTCTATGTAGGGGGTTGCTAAACCTCTAGGTTGTAGTCCAAGATCCGCTAATCTTATACTTGGACTTGGAAGAATCGTTCAAATCCACGAAGTGGCCAAATAAATCTGCAGGTCGGATTGCAAAACCCCTTAAACTAATATTTGGATTTGAAAGAATACTCTGAATCCATAGAGATGGCAAAATTGATCTCTAGGTCGCAGTGGGAAATCCTCAAATAAATAACAACATTAATAATATTATAAATCGGATGGTATATTAATTATTAAGTTATATCAAAAAAAATATATAATATTTATAAATGAATTCCATATAAAATTAATTATTTAACAAAAATCAGTATTAAAATTTAAACTTATAATGAACTCAATTCATTGCTTCACAAAAACCACTAAAATGAACAAATAAAATAAATAAGAGTAAATAATTTGTTTAATACGAAATTTTAGTGTAAATCTTGATTTTTTTTCTTACTCGAATTATTTGGACGCAGTCACTGTCATTATCAGCGAACAGCCACTGCAGGGGCAACATTGGCACCGCCGCCAAAAAACCACAACAGAAAGTGTCTTTGTGCTCAATGCGCTTGCATGCGTGACGTTGAAGTAAAAAAAAAAAATATTTAAAAATATAAAAAAATAAAACATAAACAGTATTTGCAAAATAAGAAAAAAATGTGAAAAAATAATAAAAATCATAGCCGCCGGCAGCTGGCCAAGCAAGTCAAATGCAACTTGAGCTTGAAAAATGCAGAAGAGCAGCGCCAGGCAAAGCTGAGCGGCACAGCACGCAGTGACGTAGTCGAAATTTTTGCGTAAGATCAGAATGCAGTGGAAGACAATTGGAATTTGGAGATAAATTACTAGATCCATCGATCGAGGTAAAAAAAGGCTGTCAGTTTCAAGGCACCTTTAAAAAATATTAATTATAATATATTTTCTTATAATAACGTATTTATTTAACGAAATTTATATCTTATTCTTATAATATCTTATTCTTTTTAAATAAAAATAAAAATTTATTATTTATTTTATTTAATTTTTTTGAATTAATTTCTAATAATCAAAAATTAAAAACATTAATTAATTTTATGTAATAAATTAATTTTAAAAAAATGAAATAAAATTAATAAAAAAATTTGGTTTTTATTTAAGTGGAATCACATATTCGTTTTTATATTTTTATTATATATTTATTAACTTTTCAAGCATAGTGGTACATATATTAGATGGTCTACATCTTTGTAGACTAGGTGAGTGATAGAGTTATAATACACTTAAGGAAATTTAAAAGTACCCTATATCAAGAAATTTACTTAGAATTAAAACTATTGAAAAAGTAGTTACTAAGTAGTTAACTTAGTACAACTGAATATAAATGCAGCTAAAACGATTATGGGTGCTATTCACAAGAAAGCTTAAACATCTAAAACTCATCCTTCTTGATGTAATAGAAAAGCAAATAAATATAAAAGTTTCAACCAAAAAATCCTGTGTGATAGCCATATCAAAAAAGTTCAACAGACTACTACTAGAGTTTTTATAAAGTTCCGCAACCACTAGTCGAGTTCGACGACCAAGTATCACTGAACATTTCCAAAAAGCGCAACACAAGTAGATCCCTGAGGATTACAACAAGAATAACCTGGTTTTCAAGACATTTAGATGTATTCAAGACAACATTAAAATTATACATGGAAACTATTTCGATGCTATTCACAAGAAAGCTTAAACATCTAAGATTCATCTTTATTGACGGACTATATCTAATAAGTCCCATAAAATACTAGAGAGAAGACTAGCAACATTCTTGGTATGACTGGGCCTAATTCCCGGAACCACTAGTTAAGTTCGACGACCAACTGCCGATTAACGCTTCTAAAATGGACAACACAAGCAGATCTTTACGGATTACAACCAAAATAAACATGGTCTTCGTGAAATTTTGATGTATACAATAGATGAGAATAGATGAAAGATGAGAATAGATAAGATGAGAATAGCAACACTGAGTGTATTACGACGGAATCCTGTTCAGTACACCCCGACAATTTGTGAGGAGCTTATTTTTACAATACAATATTGTTTTCGCCACACATTTAAGGAGAATGATAGATTAATTTACATTTTATTGCATTTTTGATGAGTGTTGATCATTTTTTTCTTTATTTCAAGCTATGTCGTTTGATTTTATTTCTTGGTTACTTACTTTAACATCTTTAATTTATTAGAATGATTTCAACAGATTCAAACACAACTTATGGATAATTTAAATAAAAACGTTTTATATAAAACAATGAAAAAAGTTAAATAAGTACATTAAGTGAAGTGCCTTCCCGCTCCATGTACTCGACTGACAATGCAAATGTTGGTAACAAAAAGGCTTAAAAATATGGGGTGGCTTGAGGCATTGATGTGCGTGCTTAAGTATGCGTTGCAATAAAATTGCAAACATAAAAAAATTTCCAAAAAAAAAGAAACATTGAAATTTATAAAGAAAAAAGCCAAAACAAAAATAAATATAAGAAAATTATGTTAAGAAACAACTAAAAAAAAGCAACAAAGAATAAATGAAATGCAAGCACCAATTACAAAACTCCAAAGTAAAAATTACAGTGCACTCAATGCTGCAAATGCTGGAAGAAAAATCAAATAAAACAAAAAGCAAAAACAAAACAAAACCTTAAAATATGGCAAATGTGTTTGGTACTAAAGTTTGGAGTGCCAAATTTGTTTGTCAACAAAGCGAAAATCATTTTGAGAACAGTGGAACGAAATGAATATTGAACACATCATGAGAATAGTGCATAAGATAGCAATGACACAAACGAATCGCCAATTATTTTGAGAATACCAAAATGAAATAAAAATGAGAACACATTACGAGAATAGCAATGACAAGCACACAGCGACAAGAATTTTGAGAACAGTAAAGTAAAATGATAATGAGAACACAAAATGAGAATAGCAATGACAAACACGAATAGAATAGTTTAGTAAAAACTTTATGAGAATAGTTGTTAATAGCAGTGACGCAAACCAACATCTAATCCCTTAAGAACAGTGAAATGCAACGAATATTGCACATATTATGAGAATAGTTGTGACATGAACATAGCGACAAATATTTCGAGAACAGTGAGAAGATGTCAAATTGAGAATAGCAATAGTATAAACCAACTGCGTATCATTTGGGAACAATTGAATAAAATGACAATAGGAACATATTATGAGAATAGCAATGACAAGAACTTAACGACAAAAACAAAGCAGCAATCATTTGAGAACAGAAATATATAATGCAAATGTGAACACATATGACAATGGGAATGCCAGCTTGATATCATTTTGAGGACAGAAAAATATTATGAGAACATATAATGAGAATAGCAAAGACAAGTTCATAATAGAAATCAGTTTGAGAACAATCGGATAAAATAAGAAAGTGAAGATATTATGAGAATAGCAATGATAAGAAACATTTACTTGAAGCACAGTTTGAACGCTTGATAGTGTTCCCAAATGAAAACAGTTAGAGTGCAGTCAGTTAGAGTGGAGAGATATTACAATACAACTACTATTAACGTAATTAGTTAAGTATTATTTGAACGGGGAAGCAATATTTAAATAGAAAGAAAAGGAAATAGATCTTGTTTATCAAAAGTGGTCATTAGATGCCAGCCACAATCTCTAATAAACGCGACAATAAAACTTGGTGTACGTTGACGACACATGTTTACAGTGCCATAGTTGTTCCACCCTCAAAGTAGTCTCAAGTTACTGAACTTAAACTACATAGAGACTGGCCATGGAGTTCGTAAAGAAAGGAATTATATCCTGAGCACTAGGTATAAGCTTACAAACAAAACCATGGATTATTTGATGTATATTAACTCAATAACACCTTAAAAACACAACAACATATACAAGCGGATCAAAATAAATATTTATTTTCAGATGCAATAAGGCGTAATGAGACCCAATAACTTCAGAAGATATAATCATCTTAAAATTCTAGCTATGTAGTCCAAGTAGTGACTGGAATATTCAACCTATGCATATGTATTCAATATTATATTAAAAATAAATGTATTAGTGGTCATTTACGACAATTTATAGGTTACTATTTATAATTGAATATAGTAAAAAAGTAAAAAAAAGGGCTTCGTTAAAGCAATTAAAATTATTTTTATTCAGTATGAATATTTGCAAATGAGAGTGGTTAAGTGTTTTCGTTTGAAATATATTTTGTTTTCCAACATAGTTGTGTTTTAGCACAACGCTATAATAGATGAATAGATTTTCATCTACTACGGATATGGATGGATAAATCTCTATCTAACATTTGTACTGAAAATTTTTTAAAATTCTAATGTTTTATTGCATAAAATGTGTTATAGACCGATCTTGAGGAATTTGAAGTCAAATACAAATCTCTCACACACTTGCAGATATTCTTTATTCTTTAGATAGATTAGATAGATTATTCTTTAGATTCTTTAGATATTATTTAGATATTCTATTTTATTTCTAGGGCCATTAAAAAATTTTGTAAGGGACACATAATGTTATACAAAATACAATTTAATATGAATCATAATATTTTATATTACAATAACTTATAATATAATATAATGCTATATAATATAAAATAATACAAATTAATTGAATTTATAATAATATACATTCATATATAATATAAATATAATATATACAATATAACACATATATATGTAGTATAAAGTAACATAATAATATAATATAAATATATACAAAAATAAGGATTTTTTCACTTACCTAATTCACTATAAAGCGTCGTGTTAAGTGCAATGTCCATTGGACATGTATCAGAATCTTCAGGCTCCTCAGGTAGCGTTGGCGGACCATCCCACAGTACTTTTGCAGGACGTCGCGCTCGATCCAGACGAACACGTGGGTACTCATTGAAGAGTACATCTGTTAACTAAAATTAAAAATTATTTAAATTAGATTAATTAATTATTAAAGTCTATTAGTTAATTTAGAAAATAATTTAATAAAATAGAACATAATTGGATTAAAAAAATTTTAAAAAGGTACATAATAGGTGAAAACATGAAAAAAATATTTTTTATTTATTTCTCATCATAGAATTAATTAAGATAAAATTAAGAAAAATTTAAAAAAAATTTCTGCAGACATTAATATAT